CCGGGGGAGGCTGCCACTGCACGTGCTATTACTGTTTACTCTAGCATACAGCTAACGCGTCATTCTGTACGTGCATTCTCAGTTTAAATGCAGCTATCCAAAACAGTGAATCTAATCACCATTCAGGCAAAACTTTGCTTCAAGAATGAGCCACACTGCTGACGTGATCTAATCACTAGCACACCCTGAGCACATGTGTGTTAATGTATTCCTCTTATCGGTAAGACATATCGGCATAATTTTTCATATCGGGCCGATGCCGATATTTACATTTAAAGCCATGATTCTTAATCATTGTTCGACGAATCTGATGCTTCATATCGAGTTTATGAAAAAGGAAATGGTGTCATTATCTGAAAAAATTGAAAGCTATAAAATGAAATTAAAGGGGTCATATGATGTTGCTAAAAAGAACATTATTTGGTGTAATAAAATGCGTTTATGCGGTTTAAGGTTCAAAAAACGTTATTTTCCACATACTGTACATTGTTTCTCCTCTATGCCCTGCCTTTCTGAAACGCGTAGATTTTTACAAAGCTCATCGGTCTGAAAAAGCGAGGTGTGCTGTGATTGGCCAGCTATCCAATGCGTTGTGATTGGCCGAATACCTCAAGCGTGTGACGGAAATCTTAGGCCCCTCACCATACTGTGATGATGCCCTGTCCGGCCGGAGCAATGAGACAAAAACATTAAAACCCATTACAAACGAAGCATTTGTTGCATCCAGTGGGGACATAACTACTGATTATAATGACTTCGTCTGAATGTCATTTCCCGGAACTGCAATTTTCCTGATTTATGCTGGGCGATTTCAGTGTTTGGGGTGTAGAGGCTCACCTTTGCCAGGACGGGTCCCACATCTGAGCGGAGGAGAACTTCTCCAGATACTCATCCCACTGGCTCATCAGACTGAACATGTCGGGCTGAACCAGCGGGATGCAGATGCAGCGCTCCCAGCCCTGATGCTCTCTCTGAACACCCGTCTTCGTGTAATTGTAGACTATTCCTTCAGTAGCAACAGAAGAAATGGCGTTCACATATTTGAATGACACAAAAGACGCACATTGTGACCTTTGATCTATTTCACAAATAATTCTGCAGGTCAAATTCTATTACTTTTTTTAATGCAAAGTGCAATTGTTGTACTGTTTAACATTTACATACGTGACCCTGCAGCACAAAAGCAGTGTTAAGTCGCTGGGGTATATTTGCAGCAATAGCCAACAATACATTGTATGGGTCAAAATTATACATTTTTCTTTTATACCAAAAATCATTAGGATATTAAGTAAAGATCATGTTCCATGAAGATATTTAGTAAATTTCCTACCGTAAATATATCAGAACTTAATTTTTGATTAGTAATATGCATTGCTAAGAACTTCATTTGGACAACTTTAAAGATGATTTTCTCAATATTTAGATTTTTTTGCACCCTCAGATTCCAGATTTTCATATAGTTATATCTCGGCCAAATATTGTGCTATCCTAACAAACCATACATCAATGGAGAGCTTATTTATTCAGCTTTCAGATGGAGTATAAATCTCAATTTTGAAAAATCGACCCTTATGACTGGTTTTGTGCTCCAGGGTCACATTTCAGTTACATCACTGAATCATCAATGAACTGACTTTAGCTGGAAAAATGACTCGTTATTGTCTTGCATTATTGACTAACTATTTTCCTGTTTAACGCTTTAAAGCTGCTTTGACACAATCTGTATTGTATGAAGCGCTATACAAATAAAGGTGATTGACTTGACTGTAAACAGTGATCTTAGTATAACTGAGATACTATTACAGTTTTTATTAGTATTTTGAATCAGCTTTTGTTTTTATATTGTGTTTTCATTTTAATGTTTTAGTAATTTTGTAGTGTTTTTTTTTTCATTTTCACTTTTTTAAATGTGTAGTTAATACTTTCTATTTTTATTTCAGTTATTTTAGTACATCAAGTTAAACCAAATTAAAATGAGATGTTGCCTTGACAACTAAAAAAGTAGTGCTGTCTAGCGATTAATCGCGATTAATCGCATCCAAAATAAAAGTTTTGTTTACACAATATGTGTGTGTACTGTGTATATTTATTTTGTACATATAAAGACACATACAGTATATATTTTGAAAATATTTACATATATTTTTATATTCATATAATTTATATAGTCCCCTTTTAATTTACAGTAAGAGTTTCCCTGTAGTTGATATTTTATTTAAATAGGTATGTAAAAATAAAAGTTTTGTTTACACAATATATGTATGTGTACTGTGTATATTAATTTTGTACATATAAAGACACACACACAGTATATATTTAAAATATTTACATGTATTTTTATATTCATATAATTTATATTATATAAAAATATATAAATGTAACATATTTTTCTTAAATATATACATGCATGCGTTTGTATTTATATATACATAATAAATATACACAGTACACACACATAATATGTAAACAAAACTTTTATTTTTTGGATGCGATTAATCGCGATTAATCGTTTGACAGCACTAAAAAAAGCTTTTAATATTTTCTTTCAGTTAACATTTATTTTTATTTATTTATTGGTTTAGGTTTAGATTCAGTTTGAATTAATTATAATAACCCTGATGATAAGAAAACTGAAACTAACAAAAACAAATCTGTTAAATTTGCTGTAAAATAAAAATCTGTGGTACAGTATATATTTTGAAAATATTTACATATATTTTTATATTCATATAATTTATATAATATAAAAATATATAAATGTAACATTTTTCTTAAATATATACATGCATGCGTTTGTATTTATATATACATAATAAATATACACAGTATACACACATATATTATGTAAACAA